CCCTCCCTCCCCATGTTCCCTGAGTGCCTTTTGGTTGACATCACATCTCACGTGGAAAGAGCATGGGATCTCAGCAGAGCTGCACGCATGGGGAAGCAGACAGAGAAAGACACAGTAAGCACAACATGTGTTCAAAACCAGTATGTGGGACCTGCAGCACTGGTCCAGCTTGTTTAATGGCTGGTAAAGAAACCACAGTCTGCCGTGTCTGATGAAGGTCATCACTGCCTCAGGCAGGATCCAGATCAGGTCCTCACCCTTTGCCTTTTCTTGTAGGGAATTCCCAATGAGTCCTGGGATTTTCCCTCCATTGTGAATAGGTTACAAGGTTTCTCCCTCACTGCAAAGCAGTTCACACCCACTAAATCCACTGGGGACCAGAGCACTAAAGGTGCAAAGGGAGAGAGCAGCCCAGGGGATGGGATGGAGCGCAGAAACAGGAAGCTGGTGAGATGGTGCAGAGGGAGGTGGCAGAGAAGAGGTTAAGGCCAGGGATGACTGTCAGCACAGAGAAGCAGAAGCACAAAGTTTTTACTGTCCCATGGAAGCAGAGAGGGTGTGACGAGAGCTATGCAGCCGATGACTGCCTCATCGGAAAGCAGCCCCCGCTGAATCACTGGCTGAGTCACAGCCTTGCTCGGCCTCTATTCTTTTCCCAATCAAGGAAACAGCAACTTCCCACAAACTTCTTTTAAGACTGTCATGCAGATGCTGAGCATTCCTGCACCAGGCCTTGACGATCCCCTGTGCCCTTCCGCGTCTGTAACCCAGTGGGAGGCACAATCCTTCAAAGCACATAGTGTCCCGAGGGAGGAAATGTGCCACAGCCTCTCCTAAGCAGAAACGGGATTTACTGCCACTCAGCCCATCCAAGCTGTGCCCCGGACAGCAAAAGGCAGGCTCTTACAGGAAGGGAGGTAAGGGGAAAATTCAAGCTGGGAGATTTCCGTTCTGTCACGGAACCTCTGCCCCGATGGGGGAAAATGCTCATGTTCACGGTACAATGCTACTTTGAAAGAGGAGATTGCATGCCCTGATGCTGTACTTTAAGGGTGCACAGAAGATAGCCCTGGAGTCTACCGTGGGAGACCCAAAAATTCAGGAAAGATAATTGCCTCCACTAAATTCCAATCTGGATTCAGAAACAATCAGTGAAAAGCAACAATGAAGAATAATGTTGCAGATGGAAGAAAGGGGAACCAGATAGCAAAGAGTATACATGAGAAGCTTTAAGGAACAGAAAAATTACACAGGAAACGGGGAAAAATCACTGTACTGGCAAGGCTAAGGGGGAGTTTTTAAATTCCATTAGGAATGTAAGCAATCTTCATGATGCTACAGGCCAAGAAGTAGATGAGAAAAACATTAACAAAGTTCCAAACAGGCACAAGATTTTTATAAGTGTTTCTGTTCTCTTTCAGAACGCAATGTCTTTTGCAGTCTTGCAATAATCTTAGAGAAGGGCCAGCATTTAGGAGAGATCTGCATCCTAGAGCACTGAGATAACCAAGGGGTGTTGGTCTCCTGGTGTGATCCACAAGCAAATATAAAATTGCACCGAGAATATGTACATGTACCATAAAGGGGTTGGTACAGTAGCTAGGGGGCCATGCCAGTGACACCAGCAAGGGATTTCTTTTCAAGACGGATGCCTTTAACACAATCAAACACATTTATTTGTCTCAACTGCAAGAATACATGGAATTTTCTAATCCAGAAAGCAACAGCACTGAGAAGGATTCAAGAGTCGCCATGGACACACACCTGGACTTAAGCACCCAGTGTAGTGGTATGGGTAAAAAGGCCAGTGTGACCGTCAGACAGATAAACAATCATGTGGAAAGCTGGGGGAGGAAAGTGATTTTATGTGCCTAGTTCACATTAGTGGAGCTGATACTGAAACAGTTCTTATAGTTTTGATGTTGATAAATTGGATAGAGAGCAAGAAAAATTCCTCAAATAATTGGTGGGAGGAAGGAAACAATTCTAAGAGATGAGAAGAGCCCAGTCTGCTTACCTTATCCAAAAGCAGTCGCAAGGCTAGATTACAAATGCCTGGTGAGGAAAGAGGCTTTTAAAATTACCAGATAAAGGCACAACAGGCACCCGTGGTTGGGAATAAAGCCAACTGAAATTAAAAATAAGGTGCAGTTTTAAACTGTGAGGATAAATCGCTGGAGGAAATGATCAAAGGAAGTGGTGATTTCTCCTACTTTTCATGTTTTCCATGCAGTACACAAGTCTTTTCTAAGGGCTGCCACAGCCAAATTGCTGAGCAGAGGAATAATAACTGAGGGTACATCCTTGGTGCCAATTAATGTGTGCAAAGAGATCCAAGGCTTAGCGTGCCACAGGAAGAAAGATGTCTTCAGCCTTGAGCTGTTTTGTGATTAGAGCAGCCATGGGAAGGGGAAAGACATGGGGTTTTGTCATTGTCTAGTTGTTTAATGGGATGATACTTTAATGCATAATCCTGGAATCCAGGAATTCCCAGTTGCTGCCCATACCACTGAACTTGACTGGTGTACCCTTCTACATATGTGCTCTATTTCTCAATGAATCTTTAATTCCTTCCCTTATATGCACCTAGTCATCTTCAAAAACACAGGGAGAGCACTCCTAAAATCAAATCAGTATAGAGCTGCCTGACTGACAGGGCAACAATTCTCCACATGCAGGGTCAGTGCTGCTTGGGAAAGACTATAGAATGTGCCCCAGAGGGACCAAGAGGCTGCTCATCATGTCATGAGGGCTGGACATGCTCTGAGAACAGTTATAGGATGAAAGTTCTCTGAACACTTGAGCTGGGGGATGTATCTATTAGGTCCTGGTGAGAGCATGATGCTAAAATTCTTAGACCTAAACTAAGTCCAAACAAGTTAAAGATGGGGCAAAACTCTGTATGTTTAGGCATCTTTAAAACCAAATGTTGTACGCCTGTGAAAGTTAGGTGCCTTTGCAACAAGACCAGGTAGGGGCTTTCAGGACTCTGGATATAGGCACCTCCACTCCACCAATATCCTTCTTTAATGTCCAGAAGGCATTCCCTTCTGAGGAAACTAAATCTTTGACCATAAAAAATGTCTGTAGCTATTTGTACTCCACATTGATACACACAAGTTGGGGGAAGGGAAGCACCTTGGGGTTGTGGGGAACAATTTTGGCCAAAGACACTAAGCCAGTCCTTTATTATTCAAAGTATCTGTATCTGTTCAGAGCAGGAACTGTTCTAGTTTTTTAGCTCTCATCTTCAAGTAATCCTCCACACAGAGAACATTTGCCATTTACTCTTACCCAACCGCAGAAGTCTCTTCAGTTTTGAGGTCTTTAATCAGGACTTTGATACCTTTTGCCAGATGGACATTAAAACTGAACAGCTGAACAGCAGACACTTCCCTCAGGACATGTTACTGAGCAAAATACAACATTCTGCTGCACAAAGTCAAATTAGCATAACAGTTTCTCCCGATTTAAAGTCCACAGATTTATAATCTATGAATAATACACACCATCATAGGATGATGCACTGATTTCAGGCTGCTGTGATCTGTAGCCTGACAATACCGAATTCCTGACCGCCCAGCTGGGAATCCCGACTCCTTTATGAGGTTTGATCTTGAGTCTAAACTGCCTGTAGTGAAAGAAATCATAAACCCATTTCACAGGGTGTGGACTGAGGCTTGCAGATAAGAAAATGCAGTGGTGGATACTTGGTTACTGATAGGTGTAGCTCTTGGGAAATGACACAGTGATTATTGTTATTATTTACCTCACCTCTGAATGAAGCTTAACATTTATGACAAGTTGCCTAAAATAACTTGTTTCTTTGTACCAAGGGCCCACTTCCAAGTGGCTCTGATGGCTCCCTGACAGGAACGGTGTCATTTACACTGTTGCTGTAGCTCTGTGGATAACAATATCTTTGGGGACCTCTTGTGGACTCTCTTCTAAATTGCACATTGTGTGAAGAGTACTCAGGAAAATGTTTCCGTGCTGATTTCTAGGTACATCAAAGAACCTTTTACTTCACATGCTTTCGTGTAGATTCGCAGAAGTTTGGAAATAAGATGCATCTAAAAGTAACATAAAACACATGGAAAGAACAGCATTTTAAGAGGAAAGATTTAATCCCCGAGTAATACTCATTCATGCTTTGGCTTCCTTGCAGAGACAGCAATGAATATACATGTAAAGGAGCTCTTTGTAATGGTGTGAGGGTGGGCTGGGGAGATGGAGACGGGCACGGGGGACTTGATGACTAACAGTCGGGCTTAGACTGATGTTGCTAAGACACAACTCTGAGCAAAAAGAATAACTAAGGTATTCACTCTTCCTCTGACAGTTTTTATCCAATCCCATTATCCCTACAAGGATCCCAACCTTGTGTGTTTAACCCCTTCCCTCTTCCACGGCTGTTCCCTTGTCCCTCCTCCCACTGATACCCAGTGCAAGCACTGTGAAGCCATGAAGTCCTGTTTCACATTACTAATACACCACCCTTTTCTAAGCCTCCTACATCAAGCAAGCAGCCTCTGGGCAGACTCCTCTGAGATGCGCAACTCATGAGTCTATGCATGAGCTTATTTGTGAGAGGAGACTGGACAGTGGCTCACACCAGTAGGTTACACTGAGGCTTCAGTAGGCCCTCACTCTCTGCCTAACTGTCCCCTGGTCTTTCCCCAGGGCCTGCCTGGTCCCCCGGACCAGTGAGAGCCCAGAGTCTGCCAAGGGCAGGCCTTGCCTGGGCAGGACCAGTGCAGGGACACGGCCTAGGAGCACCTCGGGGCAAGGCCCTCTTCTAGGGCAACCCTGAGCCCCTAGGACAAGCACTCCAGGGTCCCTGTTCCGAGCTGGGTTCGCCCGACCCCGGTCAGAGGAGGAGTAGAAGGTTGGTAGGAGGAGGCCGCCACTGCTATACAGGCACAACGCCGCCTCGGTAGCGCCCACTGTCCCTCACGAGACAATCCCGCCAGCCCTCTCTATGGTAGATCCTCCCCGGCGGCGGCTTCCGCCGCGTTGTGTCTATGGTTCCCGCGCGGTGCCTTATGGGCGCTTGGCGGAGTTATGGTGGTGGGTAGGGCCTGATTGCGCAGTGGCAGGCGGTGGCGGTGTAAGTAACCGTGCAGGTGGCAGGCGAGCCTGACCGGGGAGGGAGTGTTGGGAGGGCTTTGGTGGGGTCCTGAGGGGAAAAAGGGGCGGCCCTGGGGTACGGGGGGGTGTCGTGTCCCTGTGAAGGGACGGGCTATGGACGCACCACGAATGGGCTCTGGGAGCAGCTGAGGCGGGCGAGGAGGAGCGTTTCTGTGGAGAACAGCGGAGGG